TGGCGGCCCCCGATGGGGCTACTGAGTCACCGGTACGAGTTGCCACACTTTCTAACTGTTCAGCTGTCGGATGTGTGACATCACGCCAATAGTTTGAGACTCCAAGCTGTTCAGGCCAAGAGTTGACGTGTTTGACGTGAACGGCTGACTCAAAAAAGTCGCAGAGTTGTCTTGTGGCTGCCAGCTAGGCCGAAGAAGCCTATGGCATCATGATGTCCTTTCTCTCACCGAAGGCGTCCGGCTCAAGAGGATCCCAAGCCATGATGTCTTTGAGCCTAAGCCTCGGACAGACGCACAGAAATGCCCTGTTGTTCTTCGAGCTGTGCTAGAGGTTGTGGGCGGCGGGAGCTCGAGAGTTGGGTCGGTGCTCCCTTGCCCTTCGACGACGAGGCACCTTGACATAAATCAGGGGTTCGCGACGGCTTGAGAAGGGCTGGCTTCTCCAGGAAGGGGTGCTTTCGCTTTGCGGCTTTGCCTGCCTGCAGGTCTTGGCATACTTGCTGCAGGTGTCGCCAATGGTCGAGTCGGAGGATCCTGGGAACGGGCAAAAACAAAGGAAGCTTTTCAAAGCCGCCCCTGCCAGGAGCTTGCGCTGCTCGTGGCAGACTTCTGCCCAAGCTGGCCCGAGGGTTGGCCCTCGACTCGGACGTCCTCCCAGCAGAAGCCCAGCACGAGAAATGCTTGGGTTTCGCTTGCTGAGGCGGCTTGCTCTGGCCACCTTGCTCTCGAACCCGAAGGGGTCGCAAGCAGGCCGTGGCCACGAAGCTTGGGGCAAGGGACCGGTCCAGGGTGATATCCAACATGTGCTGCGGCTGTGCAAGGAAATCAGTCCCGCCGTACTGCACCGCAGGACATCAGAGCTTGTCTCCAAGCCGCAGACAGCAGAGCAAAGCCACCAGCAGCTCCCCTCTCTCGAAATGGGTGTGGTACCTGGAACAGAGGCGCGATTGCAGTTGTTTTCTCTGTTATTTGGCTGCTGTGTTGGCTGGTAACACTGCACGGACAAGCTGGGCAAGTTGAATCCAGTAGACTCCGCGAAGCGGCGAAGCCAGAGCAGCTCACTCACCCGGCACCCCAGGCAAAGCCCACCTTCCAAAGCAGCGGAGCCAACAACGCTGCGAGTGCCACGAAGGGAGCTGGGAGGGGCCAAGGACCAATCCGAATGATGAAACAGGCTGTACTCTGAGGATCAGGATCGGTTGATCGGGTGGAAGGTAGGCCGAAGCAGCTGCCGGTGCTTAAGAGATCCTTGCAAGTTCAGTCGCTTTTTCCATGGCTTCATCTGAACTATATAGACATGCCCTTCGCCGACTGTTGTTGAGTGTTGGGATGTGTTGGGTTTCGTGGTGTGTGAGGGCGAAGAGGGACTTGCCCTCTTGCGGCAGCAGGCTTTGTGGGGGGTCGTCTTACCCGACACGCAAACTGCTGCATTTCCGAGGCAGCGAACCTCAAGTCTTCGCACCGTGCAAATGCCATGGACTGTGCTTCTACTCAACAGCCTCTTACACTTGCTGCTCCATGGCCTGCCTTGTCGAAAACAAAGCTGAATTCCCCTAGCAGCTCTGAGCCGAGCGCGTAAGTTTCAGCTTGGCTTCTCAGTGCCCCAACATGGGCTCTACTGGCCCGCTGCAGGACATGGCCGTCCTGCCAAGCCGTGGGCGTGAGGGACCGAAGCTTCCTCAGGCTGCACCGAGCCCGCAGCCCAAGCGGGAGAGGGAGAGGGAGGAGCCCGAGCAGTCCATCAAGGCTGTCGTTGAGCAGCAGCTGGATTTGCAGCACCAGCTTCAGCAGCGCAGCTCCCCGAAGCAGTCGCCAAAGCAGTCACCAAAGCAGTGCAAGCTGCTGTCTGCGCCTTCTCCGGATGTCGAGGCCGGCTTTTGTTCGCCGCGTTTGTCATCTGTTCGCTTCTCTGGAGGCTGAGAGAAGGCAGAAGTCCACGGCAGCGGGGCGATCGAGGGACCACATGGTCGAGTTCTGTCTTGCCTTGGTCAGATGTTCCTTCCCCATGTGATCTGCCAAATTCAAGGGCCAGCGGCCAGATGCTTGATGCAGGAGCAGACGATCCAGGAAATCATCCAGCAGCAGCTTCTGTTGCAGGACTCGGGGCTCGTCAACATACCTTGCTTGGACGGGCCAAACGCGGAGCCACAGCGCCCAGGAGCAGCTGCGGCCGCAGCTCGAGCAACCTGCCGGAGGTGCTTCAACGGGACCGGAGGAAATCCTGGTCGAAGGCTACCCTTTGTGCCCATTTGGAGGTCCAGTGGGCAGTTCGCAGTTGGAGCATCAGCGCAGACCTGAGCCCTTCTGCCGGGTCTGGGAAGCTGTCGGGAACTCCGCCCTCGAGGTCAGGGAGACAAGAATCAGAAGGCACTCTACGTCCAAAGCTTCGCTTAGCTGGAGCAATTCTTCCGGCCGATGGCCTGTGCAAGTCAAAACCTTGACGACGAGAGCCACAATCAAAAGAAGCCCCGACTCTTTCTAACACTAAACCCCCAGACCCAAAGCTCTAGTTTCTGAGAGGTTACATCTCGCAGATTCAGCAATCCCGGTTCCACGGGCAATCCGCAGCAGATACCAACATGGACTTGCACCCCCATGTTCTGACATTCTGATTTCCTGGACCGATCATACCGTAATGGACACTCAACAGAACGCTGCAAAGACCAACAAACGCCAAGAGATCCAGGGCCTCAGTTTGCTAAGGCCGAGTTGGATGCAGACGCCCTCTGGGAGCGAGCGGGAGGCCGGCATTGTTGCGCTTTTTTTGAATAATAATAATAATAACAATAATAATAATAGTAATCATACTAATACAGTAATAATTATAATGATAGATAGATAAATAAATAAATGAGTAAATAAATAAG